TGACATTTATTGATGCCCCTAAATCCAACAAGGCCCTAGGAAATGTGGTGTCCCCTATTTTGCAAGGGATGATGAACATGCCCGGGTCGCTACATTTTTCAGGGAGTTTTCTTTGAAAAATAGTCGAGACACGTTCACTAACTTTAACCTCTTGTTTCCCCTTCAATTTATCTTTCCTTTTTGTTTTGCATAATTCTTTTAAAAATTTAGCAAAACGGGGGACATTTTTCATTACGTTAAGAAGCGGAATGTTTACCTCACACTTGACGAAAGTTTCATAGATGTCACCATCTTTCTTCGGCTTCCTTGTCTCCCTCAGCGCCTCAGGAAACGGGGTTACTCGTTCATATGATGAAAGTGGAGGGACCTTGACTTTTGTGATCCCCTCCTCCGGCTGAACTCCTTCAGGGTCCATCTCCTCAATCTCTTGATCATTCTTTTCTACCTCCTTCAATGTCGCTCCACTTGTCAACATGATGGCATTCACATGTTGTCTCGAGTTTTGCTCCATTTGAGATGGAAGTTTACCCGAGTCCTTCGCTTCAAGTCGGTTCACGGCATTTGCAATTTGGCTAAATTGAGTTTCCAAATTGTTAATGCTTGACTTTGTCTCATGTTGAAATTGTATCATGGTTTGTTGAAATTGTCCCATGTTTTGTTGCATGGTAACCATGTTTGAGGTCAAAGTCCGGATCATGTCATCAGTTGACATACTAGATTGAGAAGATGGGTTGGATTGTTGAGGGTTTTCATACCTCAAGTTTGGATGATCCCTCAATCTAGGGTTGTAAGAGTTTGAGAATGGATCATACCTCCTTTGTTGATGGCCTTGGAAACCCAAGGCGTTGACTTGTTCTTCTTGGAGGGATGAACACGAATCAGTGGGGTGTCCGGTTGATGTGCAAATGCCACAAACCTTGACTTCTTGGGTCTTGGATTTTAAAAGAAAGTCCTTAACCAAAGAGGTCAAACCAGTGACTTGACTTTCTAATGATGATGTTGTTTCCGCAGCGGCAACTCTACGGGTTGAAGACCTCCCGTTGTAGTGTCTAGAGTTCTCGGCCAACTCCGAGATGAGGTCTCTTGCTTGAGAAGGGATTTTGTTGACAATGCCCCCTCCACATGTCGCATTCACCATGCGGCGATCATGATCCACAAGATTATCATAAAAATAGAGGATGAGGTCTTGCTCGGTGTACCCATGATATGGGCAACTAGCACACAACTTCTTGGAACGCTCCCAATATTCATACAATGTCTCATCTTCTTTCTGCTCAATGTTGCTTATTTGTTTTTTCAAAGAAGATGAGACGGAGGCGGGATAGTACCTATCCAAGAAGCATTTTTTCATTTGCGTCCATGTAGTGATACTTCCTGAAGGAAGATAGGATAGCCAGTCTTTTGCGGTGTCCTTCAGGGAAAATGGAAAAGCTCTTAGCTTGATCTGCTCCTCCGAGACGTCATTGGGGCACTTGCTTGTGCACACAACATGGAACTCCGACAGGTGTTTGTTCGGATCTTCCCCTCGTAGGCCATGAAAAGAGGGGAGTAGATGAATGAGCTCAGATTTTAGCTCGAATGTGACCCCCATATCAAGAGTTGGAAAGGTGATACATATGGGTTGTTGATGATTAGGAGCCATTAGCTCCCTCATTGTTCTCGTCTCAAGATCCATAGTTATTGGCTCTTCGGTCTCGCTAGAACTAGCGCTTGATGATTCTCCCGAGTCGGAGCTTGAGAATTCAACTTTCCACCGCTCGAAAGATCCCTCTGTTTCTGGGTTTGCTTGATAGGTGATTTCGTTTAGTGAACGATATTTAACCATATACTACAATTCTCAGCAATAGAAAAGTAATGATTCTTTATATTTTGTTTTTTTTTTTGTATTTTTTTTGAATAAAAAAAATGATTGCCTTTCCCCGGCAACGGCGCCAAATTTGACGTGCACTTTGTCGTGGTGTGCACTCAAAATAAATATCAATACAACAATTATACGTAGTATAATGAAGTAAGGTTCGTATCTACATGGAAAGGAATATTTCTCTTTTAAATAAATAGTAACAAGGGGTTTTTTATGATTGTTGATGAACTTAAATGTATTTAAACACTAAGATGAATGAGTTATGTGTTTTACTTAAATGAGATGAAGACTTGGTTTTGCTTTTATCCACTTAATGAAATGTTCGTCGATCCCGGTTATATCTTTAACTATCTTCCTCTCGAATACTCAATCGAGGAGTATATCCAATTCATCGAGGGTAGTTATCAATAACGAGACGCGTTCATTAATAAAACTTACTACTGAGTCAATATAGAACACGATAGTAGCAATAAACTTAAGATGAAAACGATTGAGATTGATAACCTCAACACAAGCGGTTTATTGGTTTAATCAACATAATTAATTCCCCTTAGGTTATTAACCATGCGACGCATGCATTAATAATCCAAGTTTACTACCGTTGAACGAACCGAGTTAATAACAGGCGTATTAATCGATTGATTCTAGTAATAATTAATATATGAAACAAAACTAGTTGATCCTTTAAGTAATGCTCAAAATATTAATATGAAATATGAATAGGAATTAATTAATATTCAAGGAAGAATATTCTTAAAGAAGATGAATCCTACTATAATTAATATCAAGATGTTAACTAATTGTCATCTTAGCAACACTCCCCAACATTAATATAGAGGAAGAAAATACTACTATTACTAATGTCAAGATGTTAACTAATTGTCATCTTAGCAACACTCCCCAACATTAATATAGAGATAGTATTAAGGAAAGAAGTAATAATTAATATTCAAGGAAGAAGATTAAAGAAAATAACTCACAACTAACAATTCATTAAGCTTCAAAGTAGCAAAACCAAGATGGAAGAGTTTAGCTCCTCATTTGGAGACTAAACATACTAGAAAATATAAAGAAAACACTTAACTAAACTGAGCTTAGAGTATATGTGAATTGGTGATTTTAATGTGAAGGAAAAGGGGTGTATTTATAACAAAATGGAGGTGGTAGAGTGCTGTACTCGATCCAGTATATGGGATACTTGACCGAGCACAAAAGGTAGTTTCCAGGAAATTGCGAAATATAGACATACTCGACCGAGTATCGAGTATGAGACCGGATTTCCATCAAATATTCGGCCACATTCTTTTGCTCCCATATTTGATTTTGACTAGCGTATCCGGTCAATACTCGACCGAGTATTGGCAATACTCGACCGAGTACTGAACGAATTTCAAAATCTTCATTTGATCTTCTCCCTTTTGCACATTCTTAGGTCTTTAGGATCCATCCTTTGATTCTTTGGATGATTTTAACCTGTCCTAAGCTCAGAATAAACCTAATCTAAACAAATTACAAATATATTTACAAACTAAACTATTACACCAAAAGTGTGTAATTTCCAAAGTAACAATCAATCAAAACTAATTAAAAATACATACATAAACATAGGAATTACATGTTTATCAATTGTTAACAGAATATTAGGGATTGACATATTAAGGAACAGATCTGAAAGAAGCATGTTTTTAATTATCTCAATGTGATTATCTTTCCAAAATATTAGATAAGTTTAATATGTCTAATTCAAAAATGACACCTATTCCTTCAGTAGGGCATTTAGAATTACACAGAGATCTTTATCCTATATCCTTGGAAGAAACTAAGAAAATGGAAAATGTGCCTTATGATGTTGCTTCTGGATCACTGATGTATGCTATGCTTTGTACTAGACATGACTTGGCTTTTGCTGTGAGCGTTCTTAGCAGGTTGATGTCTGACCCTAGGGAATGACATTGGACAGCTATGAAATATACTTTGAGATATTTGTCTGGAACTAGAAATTTAGGTCTGAAGTACAGTTCTGGCAAATCTTTAGACCTTAAAGGTTTTGTAGATGCTGACTATGCAGGTTGTAAAGACTCAAGGAAGTCTAATACTTCCCGGTTCTTTACTTGGGACGGAAATTGTATTTCCTGAAAATTCCAGTTGCAATCTGTTGTAGCCCTGTCATCCACATAGGTTGAATACATTGCAGCCATTGAAGCTATTAAAGAAGCCAATTGGCTTAAGGGTATTTTGGGTGAAGTTTTAGGAAAAAATATGACCCCTGTTATTTTTCTAATAGTGACAGTGCCATTTACCTTTGTAAAGATCCCATGTATCATGAAAAAACTAAACACATAGATGTTAGATTTCATTATATAAGGGATGAAATTACAAAGGGAAATGTTTCTATTGAAAAGATTACTGGAGATGTTAATCCTGCTGATTTTGGTACTAAAATTGTCCAAACTGATAAGTTCTTGTTTTGCAGTAAATTCTTCAAAATCTTTGAGGTGCCTTGAACTGTAGGTCACTGAGTTGGGTTGATGATGAATGGTGTGAGACTTGGTTCCATATTCCAATTAACTAGCTATGATGAAACCAAATGACTAAGATGAATTGAGAATGAGTCTTAGGAGGGCAAATTGTTGAGATTAGTAATCCTAATTCTCTAATTGTTTCCTAGTTTATAATTTTAGATAGGATGGCAAAGCATTCAATTTTTGATATTATGTTATTGGGTTGGGCTTAGAGTTTTTTGTGTTCCCTTTTTTCTCTTAGTCTCGGATTACTTCTGGATTGGGCCTTGTGTAATTAGAGTTCCGATACACTTAATACTTGGGAGACCCTAAGTGTATAAGTGGCTCCGTCTCTGGAGCCTTCGATGGTTTGAGCTGTTCGTTACAACTCTAGAGAGAGAGAGGGGGAGCTGAGAACACTAGTAGAAAATAGGTTTATAGTGACACTTTGTTAGTGACACTTTTTAATATAGTGTCACGAAAATACGACATATCTTATTTACGATGGATATGTATCATTAGTTTCTGACACAATAGTATCAATATCAGATAGTGACGTTCACACCCTATTTTATTTTCCTTTAACAATATTTTGTCATATTTTAATACCTAAAATTTTAACACCTAATCAATTTTAACTACTTTCTCTCTTCATTCACAGAGCCCTAGCACTCCTAGCAAAGAGTCTGCATGACTCTTTCTCTCTTCATTCACTCTTTCACGTCCTCTTACCCAAATATGGTAAGGGGACCAGCCCCTGGCCATCGTCCTCTTACCCTACTTTGTTCGCTGCTAAAGCCTAAAGAGGAGAAGACAAAGAGGAGTACGCGAGCTAGAATGACGGAGCTTCTCTCTCCTGCGATTTCGGAACCACGATCTGCGCCTAAATGGCTTCTCCGATTCATTTGATTTTAGGGTTCGAATCTCCTACTTTGTTTGTTCTTAGTCGGAATTCTCTCCAAAAGTCAATTTCGAGCTTGGATTTGGATTTTGAATCAAAATCGACGGCCATCTACTCAAAATACGAAGCTTGCATCGCAGAGTTACAGGTTTTGAATTTCCTTCGTTTCTCTCAAATCAAAACCTTTTTTGGGAATCCAAGGGTGGTTTGGGGTTCTTCACCAACGAGCGAAGCTTCCCAATCATGGGGTAGACGGCAGGGACGGCACAGAGCCGGAAACCACCTCACCCTGTTCGATGGTTTACTACTCAGCGGCGAAGGCGGTTTGAGCCTCTCCTCTCCTTACGGCATCCAACCACTGGCGGTTTGAGATTCCTTAGTCCCAGGCGAGCTCACCGACGGTGCCTGATCTGATTTCACGAAGGTTTCAAGAACGTCTCTGTTCATCATCGACATTGTTCATCGTAAGAAGCAGCTATGGCGAGAAAAAACATCGGGAGTGGACTATCTGCGAGGGTCACCAGGTCAACTGCATCTAGGTTTGAAGTCCTGGCCAATTTGGATGACGATTTCTCACCGTTGGAAACTCAACCTCCTGGGTAGGACAAACTAGCAAATGCTGACTTTGTGGATTCTGCAAACAGCAAGCTGCTAACTAGTAAGATTGCTTGCAATGCTGGAATTCAAGACTTTGTGTCTTCATGAGTTAATGGATTCAATATATTGTTGGAAGAGCATATGGTACTTGCCTTTGTAAGAATATTTTATAAATGATGAACGTACTTTATTTGAAGTATATGTTAACCAGATAATTTAGTGAATTAATGTGTTTTGCATATTACAGGAACTTGGATGCTAAAATCAAGTACTAAAGATATATGTTCTTAACTTTAATATATGTACTAAAGATATATGTTCTTAACTTTATATATCAAACTGAGTGTTGTGTTTTAATATATGTTCATAATTTCTAAAGATATTAAGTTCTGATAAAAAGGTATTACTCAGTGGTGTTCTAATATACTAAGTTCTTAACTTCTTTTTATATGTTTAGAAAGGTATTAACTGATTTTTATACCTTTATATAAAAAGGTATTATTTGATTTTTTTAATATATGTTTATTTATGGTTTCCCGTGTATTCACTAATTCCAGCTTTGATCTTTTCTAGGATATGGACGGTGGAACAAGTTCTGTGGGTGGTGCTGAAAGTGAAAACTCTACAAAATTAGTATTAAAGCCATGAATTCTAAATTTGGACTTCTATTTTTGTGAATCATGACTTTATTTTGGTGAATCCTAGCTTTTTTTATGCATTTGGTTCAATATGATGTTACATACATCATATTTGGTAATTATAGGTTCAATGTTTTGTTGCAGGATGTTAGTGATGCAGCCCTGCTTTCTGCAGCTCCTAGGAAAACTGCTCTGGGTGATTTGGTTGTCTCTAAACCAACCCCAACCAAAAATGAAAATGCCTTTTCTGATATTGTTTCCTTTTCTGATACTGCTGTTGTCACAAAGGCTGCTGTCTCTGAGGTAAGACTGTTCCTGATGAGATACCAACAATTGGGTTTGATTCTGGTTTTAAATCTAGAAATGGACCGCTGTTCTGTAATGCCCCGGGTCTTAAATTTGTTACCTGTAGTTCTGTTTTGGCTGGCCCGGTTGATACCGTTGTTTCTCCGGTTGAAACTGTAGATTTCGGATGGGCTTTCTGTTTCAACTGACTGTAACAGACTTGTTACCGCTCATGTTAACTGTTTGATTACATATGCAAGTTTTGACTGTATGGCTAATTTTGGAAATGAAGAATCTCATTCTGATCCTTTGTTAGCTTCTAATATGGCTGATACTACACTTGATCCACCCTGGTCCAATGATGATATTCAATCTGAGGACACCCCCATTACTACTAATCATTCTCTTGAAGATCAATCACACTTAGTATAAGAAGAGGAAGAACCCGATGGCTTTACTGAAGTGACGGTAAAGAAAAATAAAAGCAAATGGTAAACCCTGCTTATCTTGCAGATCAATTTTCTTCTTCTTTGGTAAATGCTTAATTTGGCTCCTCCTTTAGGCCAGATTAACATTGCTCCCTCACATCTCTTTTCGTCTCAAATGGTAAACCCTACTTATCAGTTATCTCTAATCAATTTTTATCGTTATTATTATTTTATAAATCAATGCTAACCTAATTTATCTCTATCTGTACTAATATTGTTATGTTATTGCTGCAGCTGTTCCAATTTAATTTTCCTTTAGTAGTGTATCATCATCTCTTGAACTCATCTTTTTGTACTTTTAGATGGATATTGAAAGTCTACCCTATTGCTACCTTCTGTGAAGTGCTCTTTCAAAAATATATCGTCGGGTAAGTTCTTATAAAATTTCGTAGTAGAGTACATAAATTTACCGGGCTTTTCATGTTTCAAGGTGTACATTGTTGATTTTACCCTTCCTAAAGTAATGAGGATGCAACTACAGGTCCCCACATTCATTACGGGTACATTCCATATCTTTCTTTGCATTATATGCTACTCCGGTACTTCTTAACATATCTTGTCATTGCAATTTTGCCATACTTCTCTAACACCTTTTTATATATTTTTTGGAATTGCATAGAAATTTTGATGCTGCTTTACTACTTCGTAACAAATATTGCTAGATTTCTCATATTATTAACGGTCAGTTTCTGTTGCAGGCCGGGACAGATATAATGGCTCCAACTAAAGATGCAACTTTGAAATCAAAGGCCAGATTGGGAGCAAGAGATGCAGTGGATATATTGTTAGCTTTAGTCGATGTGGTCTTTTTGTGTTTTAAGCACATGTGCCTTTTATTTTAGGTTGTATTTTCTTCTTGTTTATTACTTATGGTTTTGGGGGTATGCCCCTATGAGTCATGTACACTCACATTTATGTGACAATTTGAGGTATAAATAAAAATGTTTGAAATATGATTGTTTATTAGCATCATAGATATTATATATATTTCGTATATAAAAAATATCACAATTGAATGCAATCTGGGTATTGACGCTGGTATATCACTAAAAAATATGATTGAATGGTATCACAAAAATTCATGTTATGTATATATATCACTAAAAAAAATAATGCATTGATATCACAAAAATCCTTGTTACGTATATATCACAGTTTTCTATGATGTTTATACGTCATAATTTTGTGACACAAAAGTGACTTGTGAACGGTGACACTAAATTTAGCGTCAGTAGCCCCACTTTTCTGTGACACTTTCAGAGTGTCACTAAATCGTTTAGTGACACTAATTCAATGTCACTATAAACCATTTTTTTTACTAGTGGAACATTGAGTTCTAGAGTGATAAAGCGTTATTCCGCTGCTGGTTTTCTGCGCGAGAGCCTGGGCTTAACGAGAACGGTGAGAGAAAGAGGAGAATGCTTGAAAATCTGAGGAATTGGAGGAGAGCTTGATACGAGGTCCAGAACTAGGAGCCCGGCAGTTATCTTCCGAAGCCTTAGGGTTTCATTCGGTTAACTTTGAACTCTTTCTTTTATTTGTTTCTTGAGTGATACTTCTGGCCTATTGCATGCACTGCATCTTGATTGCTTTGCAACCATTTTGATTGTAAACTATTTGTTATCTGAGCTAGTGGAATATTGGGGCCGGGTTTCCCCTGTTGAAACCCCGCAGATTAGGAAGATTATTCTTCCGAATTGCGTCAACATATCGTGTGTCTTTTACTTTTCTTATTGCTTTTGAGTACATGTGTTGAGTTTGAGATTCGATCGTTTTGACTGTGACTTCGTTAAGTCTGCGAACAAAGTTTATATGATTGTTTCTTATATATTACATGGCATTGTATTCAATTTTGATGAAATTATTAGACTTAATATTAGGGTAAATCTTTCCCCCTTTCCTTTCATTCATACGGAAGTCAGTATATATATACAATTTAGGATTGGCTAAACAAAGCCCTTGACCCAACTAAACTAATAAAGTATTTAAAAGAGCTAATTACAATTAATGACAGGCCAGGCCCATTAGCGTAGCTAATACCCCCCCCCCCCCCCCCCCCCCAAGTTGGAGCATGCGGATTAAAAATGTCCAACTTGGAAAGAAGATGATGGAATTGCCCATGACCAAGAGCTTTGGTGAAAATGTCGACCAATTGATCATGAGTAGAGACATGCTGAGCAGCGATCAAACCAGCCTGGAGTGCGTCACGGACATAATGGCAATCTACCTCAATATGTTTAGTACGTTCATGAAAGACCGGGTTGTGTGCAATGTGAAGAGCGGAGCGGCTGTCACAAAATAATGACATAGGCCGAGAATGAATAACACCAAGTGTAAGAAGAAGACCCTTAAACCATTTCAATTCGACTGTAACAGCCGCCATGGAGCGATATTCTGCTTCAGTAGAAGAGCGAGAGACAGTGTGTTGTTTCTTAGTCTTCCAAGAGACAGGGGATCCTCCAAGAAAAACTATCCAGACGGTGAGAGAACGCCTAGTGAGGGGGCAGCTAGCCCAGTCTGAGTCACACCACCCCGTAAGGAGCAGATCAGAAGAAGCATGGAGAAGAATGCCTTGTCCAGGTGATCCTTTGAGATAACGAACAACACGTATGGCCGCATGCCAGTGCTCCTGAAGTGGTGCCTGCATAAACTGAGAAAGAATGTGGATGACATGTGCCAAATCTGGTCGAGTAAAAGATAAATAAATGAGACGCCCAACAAGATGACGATAAGACTCAGGACGAGGTAATAACTCTCATGTGGCCAGAGCTAAAGAGTGATTCTGTTCCATGGGAAAAGAATAGGGTTTCGCCCCAAGAAGTCCTACCTTAGAAATAATGTCCAAAATGTACTTGCGCTGACATAGAAAAATACCATCAGCGCTGCGAGCCACCTCAATGCCCAGAAAATACTTAAGAATACCCAAGTCCTTCATGTGAAAGCATGTGTGCAAATAATGTTTAAACTGAGACAAGGCAGAAGAATTATTGCCAGCAATAATCAAATCATCAACATAAATCAAAACATGCAAGCGGACCTCTCCCGATGATAAGTAAATAGGGAATAATCAGAGTAAGACTAAAGAAAACCATAATTCTTCAAGGACGACGCCAATTTAGCAAACCAACATCTGGGGGCTTGGCGTAGCCCATACAAGGATTTTCTTAGGCGACAGACAAGACCAGGCCGAGAGGGAGAAAACCCAGGCGGAGGTTTCATGTAAACCTCCTCAGCTAAATCCCCGTGAAGAAAGGCATTATGAACGTCCATTTGGTGCAGCTCCCAATTCTTAACTGCAGCCACAGCTAAAAAAATACGGACGGTGACCATTTTGGCCACAGGGGCAAAGGTCTCAGTATAATCAATACCCTCCTTCTGGTGATTCCCAAAAACAACCAACCGTGCTTTGAGCCGTTCAATGCTCCCGTCTGAGAGATATTTGACTTTATAAACCCATTTGCAGCCAAGCGCCCGTTTTCCAGTAGGTAATGTAGTCATATCCCAAGTATGATTATTTTCAAGTGCTCGAATCTCACTTTGCATGGCCTCTCGCCAACCAGGGTCGGTCATTGCCTCTCGGAAGGAACGTGGTTCATGTCCTGCAAAAATAGCTCCAAGAAACTGGCGATAACGAGTAGAAAACTTATCACAATTCACATAATGAGCTATAGGATAAGGCGTACCTGAGGAACTAACCGGGGCGGGTGACGACGGAGATGGGCTTGTCATCCGAATATGATGAGTAAAAAAATCTTGGAGGAGTACAGACAGACGTTTCGATCGTAAACCTCGACCAAGTGCAGGTTGTGGCATGGACGAATTCTCGGCCGTAGATGTCACCAAGGAAGAAGTATCATTTATAACATCGGAATCTGGAGGTGCTACTTGGGCAGGAGAAATTTGGTCCGGATCAATAATAATTTGTGGTTGAAAGCCCATGTCTACGGCACTCTCAGTAGAAGCATCGGACCCCACTGGAAAGGGGAAAATATCCTCGTGAAATTTAACATCACGCGATACAAAAATATCTCTAGTAGAGTAATCATATAATTTCCAACCCTTTTTCCCTGCTGGATAGCCAATAAATACGCATCGCCGGCTACGTGGAGCAAACTTATCACCGCGGGATTTTAGGTTATAAGCATAGCTGAGACACCAAAAAACCCGCAAGTGATGAAAATCCGGTGGCTTCCCGTTAAGAATTTCATACGGAGTTTTGCGACCCAAGAGTCCAGACGGTGTACGATTAATGAGATACACTGCAGTTAATACACATTCACCCCACAAAAAATAGGAATATTTGCTTGAAACATTAAGGCACGAGCCACATTTAATATGTGGCGGTGCTTACGTTCAACCCTACCGTTTTGTTGGGGTGTGTCTACACAGGAGGTCTGAAAAAGAATTCTGTGCTGTTCAAAATAAGGTAACATACATCTGAATTCTGTCCCATTATCACTGCGAATAGTTTTTACTGACACCTCATATTGTTTTTCAACCATAGTGATAAATGAAGGGAAATAACGACCCACTTCCTTTTTGTCACATAATAAATATACCCACACAGCACGTGAGTAATCATCGACGAAAGTCATGAAATAAATAGCATCACAAGTAGACGGGGTTTTGTAAGGACCCCACAAATTACAGTGTATTAATTCCAAAATACGACTCGCTTTATTGCTACTAAGAGGAAAAGAGTCACGCACTTGCTTTGCCTGTGGACATACCTCACAAGCTTTATTCAACTTTTTCTTAGCAGAACTAGTACTAATAGCAGGTAATAATTTAACTACTCTGTCGGGAGGGTGACCTAAACGGCGGTACCACAACTCAAAATCTGACAGTTCTGATGTGATGACAGCATGTAGAGCAGGTACCCCACGTAAATAATATAGCCCATCTCGCCGTTCACCAGCTCCAATCAGGTTCCTCGAGCGTAGATCCTGTATAGCACAAAGTGAATTAGTGAATGTAACAATACAAGAAGCTTGATCAATTAACTGTGAAACAGATATAAGGTGACAGGTCAATCCGGGAACAAATAAAACATGATCAAGAACCAAAAATGAAGAGAGGTGCACACGCCCCTCCAAAATAGCGGCAACCGTTCGTCCATCCGGCAAACCGACCGGACATGGGTGAATACTAGTTCGTTGAGTGAGACACGTGAGGTCACCCGTCACGTGGTGCGATGCTCCGGTGTCAATAATCCATTCCAATTTAGATGACTTACCCGACATTCTATTTTGAACACTACCGTTAGAGCTAATAAAACTCAGCAGCGCCTGGACTTGCTCACTGCTTAGCTCATTCAGCCTGTTTGTCACGTTACTGAAAGAGGAGGTGTCCACTCCTTGAGGGGCTGTAGCAGAGGACACAACATGTGTCCGAACCCCCCCTCCACGGCTAGTCATCGGTCCTTTTGTGCGATTTCTTTCTTCCCACCAATCGGGATAGCCGTGCAATTTAAAGCACGCATCTATTTTGTGTCCTTTTTGTTTACAATGGGAGCACAACAGTTTCTTTTTGTCTGGCTTATCAGTCCGTCCCATGGCAGTGCGTGCAGATGTAAGGGCAAAAGCATGAATGTCAGCTGTCGGTGCCTTCCCTCGAGCAATTGCACACGAGTTTTCCTCCTGAAGGAAAGCCTGGTGAGCTCTGTTAATGTCCGACAATGGCGTATGTGATAAAAGATTTGAACGGACTGTACCATAAGCCTCGTCATCGATTCCAATTAAAAGTTGGTGGAACTGTTCTTCCTCGTGGTCTGCCGCAAATTTACCAACGACGTTACACGCACAACGTCCACACGTGCACGTGTGGAGAGGTTTCAGTCGATATAGTTCATCATAAAGACTCATTAGAGCCGTATAATAGGTGTCCACCGTCATGTTGGCGGACTGTCTGCAAGCAGTGATTGACGCTCTCAATTGTTGA